GAAAGAATTTGTATTGGAGGTAAGATAAATGCTGCACTCTCTCGAGATACGTTTTATACATAGTAAAGCACATCGCGGTTATAAATCCAATTCCATTCTATGCAAATTCGTCGCATAATATTTTAAATGCAAGAATATTGTCAAAAAGCAATCCTGCAAAATAAAATTTAATAATGGCCATCGCGATGTTACAAATTGTTAGTTTTTCCAAATTTGAAATGACGTACAAGATAAAGTTAATTTGCTCGTTTCTCTCTTTCTCGTTACTCATCTATCGCAAATTTTGATAATTTCACCTTTCCAAATATACGCTTGTCTTTCAATATTCAGTCATTTTAATATTATTTCGATCAAATATAATCAAAGTAATATCAGAAAAGAAAGCTCTACAAAAAATTATAGACAGAGATAAACGTATATATATTAAGAAATAATAAATCTTTTAATTAAAACTAAACATGAAATGAGAAATGATCATTTTAGAATGTACTGTGCGCAGGGAGAGTTTCCTATCGTAAACCATACCTTTCTGAACAAAGAAAAGGAAGTTTCCCCGTTATCTATACGGTAGCAGGGATATAAATGCGGCGGATGTAGAAAATTGATTCCTGCATTCTTGATTCTGCGGCGCCCTCGTCACTCTTATCCGGTGCAGTGTCAGCTGCAGCGATGTGACGAAATATTTTCCGACTTTGTGTCGGAAGGAGTATCGAAAATCGCGATAACCATTGAATACATCCCATATTCGTGTATACACAGGCCGTGGAGAGCTATATTTAGGTAGTCGTGCGATCGACAAACGTGCTCGCGCGAGCGTACACATGACGTATATATACATATATACATGTATAAATATATATATATATATATACGCACGTATATCGTATGTTTGCATATGTGTATATACACATCGCGTCGCGTCGCGTCGCATCTTTGTGTGTCGCGTGCATGTGTCAACGTTCCCAGAAACACGTTACACTGACCCGGGGGACTCGTATCTTTGATACTGGGTCATCCCATGACAAATTGATCGGTGACGTTGCGCCGTTGAGCTTCGGCACGAGACTTCCACGCTCGAACGGTGGAGAGATCCTCTCTTCCGAGGGACATGTACCGTGTGTGGCGGATTATACTCACCACCGCCAGGCGTGATCCACTAGATCCACGCCTAGACTATGTGCTACGGGTAAATTTCACGTCACATTGATACTATTATATTGATATGATGAGAATATTAGAGAGATAATATACGAGAATATATAATATTTATTCTAAATAAATATCGGATATTTATGTAAAACCTATCGATTTGATTCGGAAGATGAAATATTCAATTTATACATTTTAAACTCAGAAATTGTAAGATATTATAAATATATGTTGTAACTTTCTCCTCTCTCTTCGCATTCTGATTAATTCATGCGATCAATATTAATTACTTGGATTTATCAAATTGACAAGTACGATTTCAAATCACGAATTAAAATAATTATCAAAAATAAATTCTAATTTTCTCGAATATCCTTGACTAACAATACGCGTTTATTAATTATTTATAGAAAATAAGATCGAATCCATTTCTTTTTTAGTACATACTACTTATTTAGTGGCTATTACGGCGGCGTTTATTCCCATACGAAATTTTTGAAAAATTTATTCTTTGCGCAAATACGAGAGTTATCGTGATTCAACAATACACCGCGAGAAAAATTGATTATCGTAAACGGAGTGGCGAATATAATGCATGGTAACATTGTAAAAAAAAAAATTGATTTGGAAGGTTAAAACGTAGTACGGATCGATTCGACGCGACACTGTATGCAGAGCGAAATGCATTTACAGAGAGACAGACAAAGAGAGAGAGAGAGAGAGAGAGAGAGAGAGAGAAGCAAGTTTTCGAGAGCGCGACATTTCTAACCGACGAGAGCGCGACATGACGTCCGACAGGCAGACGCGCCGTCTCGATTAGTGACTTTATTTAAATTTAAACACAGTAGAGAGAACGGGTGTGCGCGCTCGCGCGTTCGCCTACGCACGAGTGATTATCGCGACATTCGCTAGTAATTGCTGGGACAACATCGCGGTTGATTGTTTTACGCTTCTATCAACGTGTTCTATTTTATCGCCGAACCGGTCCGACCATAATGTTATACGAATACGCCTACCGACGTCATCGTCGCCTCATCGTTTCGTGGCGGCACGAAATTTCCGACGCGAATGATAAAAATAACTGATGGGCGTGATAGAGACCATTAAACGTAACGCGCGCACGCGTGCGATATTTTCGCGCGATATATACGCTTACATGTGAAATCACTGACGGTAAAATCGCCTGGGACGTATCCCATCCAATTCCGACACGACCCAATTCTGTTTCGTAAGCCGTTGGCGTGCCTTGTCACGTGCGCGCGCGGAGACGTCACGGGGAATATGATAAATGTTTTCCAAGTAAATGAGTAAATTGCATTCGACACCAAATTTATTTTAACTACCTCGCAAAGAATTATTACTATTATTATTAACATGTCGGAGAAGGGAGAATGCGAGAATCTATTAATGTCGAGCGTAGCTTGTCGATTTCGTCAAAAATATCGTAACGCCCTAAATAATCGTGCGATAATATATATCTCTCGTCCTCGCGTCCATCCGGAAGAGAGCTTTAAACGAACATCAAGAAGCGCGCTTTGTAAGGCCGCTTACGGTCGAGAGATTACCTCGGAGATTGGCGTGATCGTGGTGCGGGGTGGGTGTGCCGAATTCACGAAGCACAAGCGCAATTATTATTACGCTCGTTACTCGTATATTCCATTCAAAGCATTCGGGCGGACGGCGAGGGCGACCGCCGGCGGGGATTATTATCCTATTGAGCTCGTAAGAAGCCAAAGCCCGCGCGCGATGTCGTACGATGCGCGTCGTCTTACGACATCCTCTATCTGCTAACCGACGGAACACGGCGCGACAAGAAACGCTTAGCTCGTACAGAACCTCGTGAACCTCTAACTTTGCTTCTCCGAAGAACACCGAGAGAGAAAGAGAGAGAAGGAGGGACAGGGACAGGGACAGGGACAGGCTACTCCAAGTATAACGAACGGCTTCGACGATAACATAGAATGACGTCGAGGCGCCACGTCTGTGCGAAGACTGTCCGACAAGACATACGAGAACGATACATCGTTCTCAAGAATCTCTCCTCGAGCGATTTTCAGTTCTATCGATCATTTCACCGGGGACGAATAAGAACGGTGCACCGGAGGAAACGTAGATAGATGATGGAGAAGCGGCACACGGACAGGAGCGAAAAGAGAGAAAGAGAGAGAGAGAGAGAGAGAACGGTAGAAATCGAGTACCATCTTGTTCCCGTTATTAGAAGACGGACGATAGAGCTGATATGAATGTAAACGAGAGAGGGGAAAATTAATTAAGCAACCAACGAAACAATCGAGAGATTCCTTCGATCTGATACGCTTCCCGTTCGTTTTGTCAAGTGATAATAAAAAGACTAATAGTTATGTTAATGAATATGCCTGAACGAAATCAACAAATCGCGTTGAACTTGATTACTGGTCCTCTCTTCAGGATCTACTTCTTATTCTCGCAAATATAAAAATAATTCTGTTTGAAAGCGAGTTAATTTATCGTCTACACAAAATTATAAACAAACATATTTTAAGGTTGAAAGTATATAAAATGTCGTCGAGTTTTCGTTAGACGATGATAATCAAGTGAAAGCGTTAATTAGCATTTTTATCTTTTTATCCGTCACCGAACGACGAGAGATGCGGAACGAGAGGAATTTCGTTAGAAAGGGAGAGGGGGAAAAAAGGGGGCAGCGGTCGATTCTTACATAACGAACATTCCTAATGGAAAGGGGCGATAGTTGACAGCTCGGCTGTAAACTAACTCTGAATTATTTAGCCATGAATAGAGATCACGGTCGTTCTTTTTCATCCGTAACGATAACGTTCGTTTAATAGACTCTCCCCGTAAAATGCGTCGCGCGATAATTGTTAAGACGTAGTATATTTTCATAGCAACGACAAAATTGCCGTCATAAAAGAGCTTCCTTCATAATAGCGAATCCATATGTGCTGCTTTTAGCTATCACACACGTATATACGTATATATGTGCGCGTGTAGAAAACACCCTTGCTTCTAATACTAAATTACCGCCACTTGGCAATACTTTTATCGCCCCTTTTACGATACCGGTCTCCCCTCTCTAGCCCTCTAACTTCGTTTTTGAATCCGATGGGACTATAAAGATAAATTAGATAAGACGACAAAATAAATGGGAAGCGCCACACATACACACACACACGGATATGCAGTCTACAACATATTCGTTACATAATTTCAAGGAAAAGAAGCGTGCTTTTAGAAAAATTCGAGAAAAGAAATCGACAGCTTTTTATTTAGTTTCAGCTGTATTCTCTTAAATGGAATCAATATATTATCATTGAAAAAACAGTGAATAACCACTGAAGATCTCAGTTACATGCATAGCATTGTAAATTAATGAAATCTTACTGAAAGTATGAATTAATTAATTAATTCATACTGAAAATATGAATTAATAAATTGTTTCAATCGGTGATATTTTAAAATGCATCTTTATTATATTATTTATGAGATCAATTTATAGCAATATATTTTATGTATTATACATTAATTTATTTA